GCTGATGGGCCAGTTCCTAAGAAAGTTCGCTTCTGCCTGGCAAGTTGTTGGGCTGGTGGCGTGGGGCGCTCTCTCTCATGGTAGAGATGGAAAAAGACCCAGAAGGATTTAAAACTGAGGGGAGGGGGAGGTGCGAAATGAGAAATGCCACATTACTAAACCTAACGCATGTGGATAACTTGTATGCACTTTACCTTATGAGAAAAATGATTGCTGTTTTCAAAACTGCCCACGTGTAGGGAGCGGGCTTTTGACCCTTTTCCTGCTTCACAAAGCGTTGAAGAATGATGAAGTCTTTGGAGACAAATCCATTCTTGCTTCCAGGTTTTCACAGGTTTCCCATTACATCCCAGCTTTGGGGGAAATGGCAGGATAATTGCATGTGAAAAAAAAAATTAAAAAGTCATTCCTGTGCAGGACTCAGCTTAGAGTCTTGTGTTTGCCAGCTCGGAGGCAGTTGATTAAACAGTCAAGCTCCATTTTATGAGGCAACCTACAATTTGGTTTCTAGGACCGAATGCACCAGGAGAATTGTTGCCCCTGAGGACGGAGTAAAAGGAGGGCACTGGCCGGTTCCAGTAAGCTATCCAGTCAGCTAGCTCTTGGCCAGCCTCTTCGGTTCTTGGCTGAGGTGGGGGTGGGCGTTGGTTTTGGGTTTTGGAAGTGCCCTCTCTTAACAGAAAGGTTTAGTTTGTCTTTTTAAGCGATAAGTTAGTCTTCTTGCGGATAGATAGGAACTCAGGCTTTTGTAGTTACTCTTGGTGACCAGTGAGTGACCTGAACTCTAGAGAATTACAGAACTTGGAAAGATAATGGGTCTATGGCCCTGAGGTCTCCTTTTATAAAACAGGAGGGTAAAGAGGTGTCTAGGGATCAAGCCTCCCAAAGTAGTAATCGCTGGCATTGTGAGGAGCTGGAATTCAGCCTTTGTAGCCTGCCATATCAGAGCATTCCAAGTCAGTCAATTTTTTGGTTTTTTGAGTGAAGCCTTAGAAATAATACTGGGTTTTCATAGACATTTTGTTTTATAATATTATTTTAACTAATTACAATGTCGTACCAAAAGAGCTCTTCTAGCCTATTGGGTAGGGAGTTATCTTGCCAACCCAAAGGCACATGGTTTGAATCCACCAGCTGCTTCCCAGGAGAAAAGATGGGCTTTCTCCTCCCGTGATTTACTGTCTCTGAAAAATTAACTCCAGGGTCAGCTATGAGCCAGTTCTGTCTCTGTCTGAAAGGCACATAAAACAATAGTCAACCCCTTATTGTGTATTGCCTTTCCTTCACCAGCCAGTCTTCAGGAAGAAAAGACTGCTGCTAGTATTTTGGGGAGTCTGTGAATCAGGACACCACCATTGGTGCCTTTAGCCTCTCAGATAAGCCAGCCTTGTATCAACTCCATCTATATTGGAGTCTCGTAGAATATATTGCTCAACTTTATTCTTTAAAGATTTGAGTTGGGTCCATTTTCTATATGATGTGTCTGTGCTTATGCACCTCACAGAGAAAAAGAAGTCCCTTCTTTGCCTATCTATCCCCTCTTCTGGAGTGGTTTCAACCACTCGGAAGAATTAGGATTCTTTCAGCACTAGAAGCCTCTTCTGTAGGTTTGGTCTTACAGGTGCTGCTTTTGGAGACGAGCTAAGGATCATTGTGGCCTAAATTTTCTTAGACCTCTACCGTGGGCTTCGGTTTTACTGCTGGTTTTACCCTTCCCACCCTCCCACCCCCCCAACCTAGTAAGGACAGTGGCCCGCAATTTGAATCAATGGTGAGCTGATCAGCTTTGATCTTAAATCCATCCTGATATGCTGGTGTCATCCTTGGATTTGTTCACTACTTGACTTTTTTTTTAAGGCTAAGTAGACAGAAGGCAGCCTCGGAGACTACTTATTTTTAAAGCCACTCTCTTCTGCCCTCTGACTTAGAGTGACCTGGGACAAGTCCCCTCCCCTCTTGTTCGTTCTTTCAATTCTGTAAAATGGGGATAATCCGGATCTTATGCCCCTAGGGCCTTGTCAATACAGGCTAATGAGGGCACGTGAGTGGGAAAGCAGAATGTCGAACAATGAGCTGTCATTTCTTTCGGCTGCAGAGTAAACTGCAGAATCTTGCTGGCTCTCTCAGCTGGGTCTTTGGAGGGCTTTGAAGAAAAGTGTTGTAGAGGTGCTAAGTAGCAGCCAAGAGACCAGGCCTGCTGCCAGAGAGTCAGGCCTGGGCCGAGGAGGCAGCGGTCTAGGGCTCAGGCCAATTTTGGAGCCGCGGGTAAAGTTCACGCTGCCCGCTGCTCTCCTCTGTGCGGCCGGGGGGGACCCGCCAAGACAGGAACTCTGGGAGGGAGGCGGCGCAGGCTCCGGAGAGGCTCGAGTTCTGGGCCGGGTTTTCCCTGAAGCTTTTGGTGGCGGCGCTGCCGAGCGAAAGCGGGTGAGAGCCTGCCGCCGCGGCGGCTAGTTCTCTTCCCCTCCTCCTTTGTGAGGGGAAGAGAACGAGTCCATTCCGCGTCCTGCGCCCGCTCCGAGCTCCATTCCGGGTTTGCCAAGCGGCCGCGACGGTGCTGGGTAAAATGGCAGTGCTGAGCCTCGTGTCGGAGTGAGGGGGACTCGGAGGAGAGTGGGGCGCTCTAGCCGTTTAGTCCAGCCGCCCGCCAGCTCGCCCGCCCGCTGCCGCGCAGGAGCCTCGGCCACAGCCGCGGCCAGGGAGGGGAG